GCGGGCCAGGAGAAGCAGGGAGGAGCCGGGATGCGGAAGAGCGAGGGTAAGCAGGGGGGAGCTGGAGAGAGCAGGGAGGAGCAGTGAGAAGGAGGGACGCCGACGACAACGGCGAGGAAGACGACGACGACGACACCGACGACGCCGACAACGAGACGACGACGACGACGAACCCCCCTCCAAAAGCGACCGATATCTCTTGGGGCGCGACTTGGCCAGAACTGCGAGGCGAGTCCAGCAAGTGGCGACGGTCAGGTCTCCCCAGCGGCCCAAAAACACCCCTGAGAGCGTCAGATGCACACATCCTTGGCGGCAGCCCCAGACCCTGACACCCTCGCGCCCTGGAGAGATCACCACGGGAAGCTCTGGGCAGTTTGCAGCCCCCGGGGGCCCTCGCTGGGCCCTAGGATCGTCGAGCGACGACTCGGGCTGAAAACCTGGAATCGGCCTCGGGAATGGGTCGAGACCTCTGGGGGTCAGCGTTGTGAAACAGTGGCGACGTCGAGGGCCTAAATCAGCGGCAGCCCCAGAAATCCGACGTCGCGATTCCTGAAGACGCGCCCCCTAGAAATCCCGACCCCTCCTCCTGGAGACCACCCACACGGAGTCCGAACACATGGGGTCGGAGGATCACTCTGAATCGCCGATGGGTCGGCGATGCATCGGGATGGAGAGAACCAGTCAGCGAATCGAGCCGCATCGCCGACGCATCTACGATGCGAAGGGACCCTCCGATTCCATCTAATTGCCCGGACCTCATTTGGGACGCCTGTAACTCAATGCACAACCTAAATGGGAAAACGCTTGAAGTAGATTGGGAACCTTAAAATACCTACTTTCAACGGGCGGCCTGCACCTACACCTCATCAACTTGAACCACATTCCCATACACACGATGTCTCATGTCAATGCGGGATCCCCAACCGAGTCCCGACCCGGTACCCAGGGTCAATTTGTCGTCCCGACTCGATTTCGACCGTCCCAAGGTTCGGCGAGGGCCCCTGATGCCGCAAACAGCCCAACATCGCCCGCCGCGAATTCTTCTCCACGACGACGGCATGTCTGGGTTTGGGCTCCCTCGTGCCAGCCCCGCCCGACGGAGCCCAGACGTCATCCGACATGATGTCGTTTTCGAGATGCGGCCCCGGAGCTTTCGGCCCCTTTCCCATGATGTGAAAGGGGCCCTGGGACACACAAATAAATAGACACAAACAGCAGGATTCACAATATTTTTCCAATATTTTCTGGGTTTTTGTCTTCCCCCCCACTTTCCATAGTTTCCCATATTTTCCGGGGAATCGACGATGAATTGTGTCTGTGTGTTTTTCCCCCTCCTGAGTATTGCCGGATCTCGGAGCTTCCTTCATTCGGGGTAGGAGGGGGTGCTGACTGAGGAAGTGTGGATACCACGGCTGGGGCATGTCTCCCTGGACTTCCTGGACGCCTCCTCTTACTTCAGCACGTCCCTTGATTCCCCCCCCTCGTCCGCGCACATGCCTCCAGTCGTTTGGACGCCCCCGATACCCAGACATCCGACTTCGCGATCTTCTCGCCAGTGGCCCCCCAGAGGCCTGGACCCCTTCCCAGGGACCGGCGTCTCAGCCTGAGTCGTTTCTTGAGGGTCCCAGGGCCCGATGAAGCCCCACAGGGGCAGAAAACGGCCGGAAACCTCCATGATGGGTCTGTTTTCTACCACCACCACCACCACCATAAGTTGGAGGGGGAGGGGGTCCTCCTCCTCCTCCTCCTCCTCCTCCTCCTCCTCCTCCTCCTCCTCCTCCCAGAGGCCTGGACCCCTTCCCAGGGACCGGCTTCTCAGCCTGAGTCGTTTCTTGGCGGTCCCAGGGCCCGACGAAGCCTCACGGGGGCCGAAAACGGCCGGAAACCTACATGATGGGTCTGTTTTCGACAACCACCACCAGAAGTTGGAGGGGGGAAGGAGAAGGAGGAGGAGGAGGAGGAGGAGGCGGAGGAGGACCCCCTCCCCCTCCAACTTATGGTGGTGGTGGTGGAAAACAGGCCCATCACTCCAGTCGCGTCTTGCTCGCGACGCGAGCACCTCCCCTCAGATCTGACGCTGCGCAAGATGAAGGCAGCACCACAACAAAAAACACCACCACAGAGCTCTGGGCCCCTTCTCTCTTACCAGCCTCCGAACTGCTCCCTATCCCTAAGATTGACACGCCAAAAGGCGATGACAATCTTAGGGATTCGCCCTCAAAGAATAAGGGAACCCCTAAGATTGGCATCGTGACGAGGAGATGCCCAGCATAGGGATAGGGATCTGTTCCAGGCTGGTAACCCTCGGCACCACTCCTCGAGCTCGGTGTCGCTCCGAGAGGGCCCCCCCAAAGAGGGGGCCCGAGACGGGGCGGGAGCGCCCGGTATGAAGCAGTTGCCACGCCCAGACCTGAGAGGGTCTGGCGCTGCACGCCGGCCAGGAAAAGCGGATGGGGCCACGAACAGCAGGAGGGCGCCGGAAGCAGATCGGGTTCCCGCCCGCGTCCGAGGGAGAAAACCGCCCGACCCTTCGGGCAGGGAGGCCTCCCCCTGCAGGACGAGATCTCCATCCCGAGCCGTCGCCCGCCAGTCCCAGGGCCCGCGGGGGGCCCCGAGGCCCCGAAGCGGCGAAACACCTCAGGACTCGTTCCTCTAAGAGGCCTCCCGGATGGGGTCCGAGCGGATGGGGCTGGAAGATCGCGCCGCATGGCCACTGCATCGCCGATGCACTGACGATGCATCGACGATGCATCGGCGATTTCGGCGATGCATCGCCGACACTGGCGCGGAGAATTTCGGGCTCCATATCGAGCCGCATCGCCGGCGCATCGGGGATGCGACGCGATCCCCCGACCCCGGCTACTCCGACCCATCTAGGACGCCTAGATTCCCTCAGGACCCGGGTTCCCCCCTGGCGAGGTCTGAGCGTCGTCGGAGTTGAGCACGGACCGGCCGTCCCGGCATTCCTGTAGGCCTAACACGAAATTATTTTAGAACCCCAAAAAGTTCGAAGAACACAAACCATCTTCTTATACTAGAAACCCGATGTATGAAAGCAAGACAGTCCCAGCCAGAAATGTTCTAAGAACATTTCGCGGAAAATCGCAAAACGGTTCTTAGAACATTCTTTGGTTGGCCTACAGGCGAGCCAGGACGCTTCGCCACGGCTTGAGCGTCGTCGGAGATCTCCCAGGGGCTGCGCTGGCGCCGGCGGTGGGAGTGCCAGCGAAATCAAAGGCCCCGAGATATTGAAGGGGCCCCGGGACACACAAGTAAATAGACACAAGTAACAAGATCCCGAATATGTTTCCATATTTTCTGGGGTTGTTAGTCTTCCCCCCCACTTCCCATATTTTCCCATGTTTTCCTGGGAGTCGACGATTCATTGTGTCTGTGCCCGGGATATGGCCCCCTCCAACCCGCGCAGGGGCAACAGCGCCCCGAAGGGCCGGGGCAGCAGCCCGGTCGGGGGGGGGTGGGGGGGCTGGCAGCCTCCAGCTCACTCCCCTCCTCCTCCTTCCTCCTCGTCCTCTTCCTCCTCCTCCTCCTCCTCCTCCTCCTCCTCCTCCCTCCCTCCTCCTCCTCCTCCTCCTCCTCCTC